TCCAGGGACCTAACAATAGGCTCCACTTGCCAGGGACTACAAGGACATTCTGAACAGGAATGACTGAAAGGTGTGATATTCCCCTTGTTAACTTTTATACCCCACACCCTCTTGGTGAACAGAGGTGTGGGCATACCTCACTGTCACCCACCTTCTGAGCTGGCAGGAATTCCATCCCAGTTTGTGTGCTTTGAGGGAACCTGGGTGCCCTGCCCTGCCTTGCCCAGATTTTTTCCCCTTTTTTAGTTTGTTTGTTTTTGTTGGTTTTAAAATTATTATTATTTCTTTGTTCATCCTTTTTATTGTTATTCTTATTCTTCCCTTCCCAGGTTCTAGTTTTCAGCTTTTTCTCTCTTCAGTGTTCCTGGTTCCCATTTTTTTTTCTTTCTCATGTTTAACCCCATTCCTTGTTTTTCTTTGTGCAGTTTTCCCATTTTTTCTTTATTATTCTCTTACTCTCCCTCTTTTCTCTTACTGCCTACTCCCCAGATATTGCAGAGTTTTTGTTTTGTTTTTATCCTTTTATTTTTTTGGTGATCATTCCTGTGTGTTTATGTGGTGTATTTTTTGTCCACTTGCTTTGACTTTTTTGGGTTTTTCAATCATAGTTTTTGTATAACTGGGTGACAGACAGCAACCATGCCCATACGATACAATCACACCTGTACCTCCTACAGCTCCACTTATTGAATGAGAGCCACCACTTCCTTCTCCACCAACTGGTCAATGATAAATGACCACCAAGAGCCTGACTCACTCTTAACTGCACTTTACAAACAGTTAACAGAGATCTAAATACAACAATGTCACAATGTCTCAGAGACAACAGAGCGTCACAGTCCACACAAAGAAGCAAGATAAAGTGGTAGAAAGTAGGGAGCAGAATACAGACTAAGAACACATTCCTGAGGAAGAAGCAGCATTGGAATTCCCTGATAAGGAATTCAAAAGAATTTGGTATTTTCAAAAGATTGAGAGACAGATGAAGGAAAACACTTGACAAAACTAAGGAAAACACAGACAAAACCCTGGAACAATTTCAGAAGAAAAACAAGAACAAAATGACAAATGAAAAATTAGAAATGGTACAAAATCTACAGATAGAAGTCCAAATGATTAGTACTAAATTCTCAGAAGTAGATAACACATTGAAAGGGCAAAGGAGTAGAATTGAGTCAAGGGAAGACAGAATTAATGAGACTGAAGACAAATACCTGACTACTTCTTTGAATAGGGATCAGTCAGAAAATAGATCAAAACAAAATGAAGAAAGCCTAAGGTTCATGTGGGATACCATCAAAAGGAATAACCTACATCTAATTGGAATTCCAGAACAGGAAAAGAAAAAGAAAACCACTGGGAAAATTGTCCAAGATTTGTTGGAAGAGAACTTCCTTGATATGATGAAAGATGAGAATACATCCACTCAGGAAGTCCAATGGACCCCAAAGAGGATAGACCCCAAAAGAAAATTACCAAGACATATCATCATCAAACTCATCAAAACCAAAGACAAAGAAAGAATCCTGAAAGCAGTATGGGAAAAA